CAGCCCAGGCACTGAGGCAGGAGGTGGGCTACTCCAGTGCTCCTGTGAAGTACAAGAGGCCCGAAGGCACTCGTCGGGGGACCCCAGCCTGCCGCGGGAGTCACCACTCAGAACCCCTGCGCTTCCTCTGAAGTTCCCAGGTGAGACCACTTGCGGCCCAGCTCCGGAAACCGTGACAGGCCTCCAGGCCAAGCTCCAGCTCTCACACTTTCACGTGCATCAGAAGCCCCGGGGAGCTCGAAAGACACAGAATAAACACACGCGGGTTTCAACATGCCGGGAGTGGTGTCCAGGACACCACACCTTAGCCGCCTTCACAGGTGGCGCAGAAGCACCGAGAGCCCAAGGGCTCGCGCAGAGGTGTAGGTGACCTTGTCCAGTCCTGCAGGCCCAGTGACCCTGCCTGCCTGGCTCAGCAGGAGATGGAAGGCGACAGAAGCATTTTCAGATAAGATCTATTTACATTCTTAGATAAAAGGTCTAAGCCAAGGGAGCTTTAACACCATCAGTCACTCATTAAAGAAGAAAATGATTCTTTCAAACAAATTCCTTAGGGCCAGGGAGATAGCTCAGCAGACTTAAGCACCTGCTCAGGCAAGCGCAGGCACTGGGATTCCATCCCAGCCACCACAGGACCCACAGCTCTGCCTCTGGGCACGATGGGCCAGCCTCCCAGACTGGGAGTGGTGGTGCATACCTCTAAGCTAGTGGTGGGGAGGCTGAAAACAGGAGGATCACTAGGAAGCTACCTAGTGAAACCCTATACCAAATACATTATTTAAAAAAGTTCCTTACACCTCTCCTAGCACTGCAAATCCAACGCTTCCTCCCTCACTAGCCTGCTCACAACTGGAGGCAGGGGTTCCAGTGCGCAGGAGCCTGACGGGGTTCCAGAGGCCAATGCGAGACACCTCTGGGGCTCCCGCAGCGCCCGCCTCACAGACTGAGGACCCGCTGAGTAACAGTAAGCGCCAGGGGCAGCACACTCTTGACCTGAAACATGAGACTTTCTGCTGCCCCGCATGCCGCTCCCACATCACAGCAGGGAATCCTGGGCAGCTGGAGGTGGCAGTGGCCTCCCGGGCTGTCCACTGTGCAGTGGGTCAGGGCACGTTCCCTCCACCTGACAAGTTCCAATGGGAACTGCTGCCAAGGCGCCCCTCGCACGGCCTAAGACCGTGTCAGCCGTGGGGGCGGCGCTGCATCGCTGCAGGGAGAGCACCAGGCGGCAGCGCCCTCCCCCAGCAGCTCCCTGGCAGCCTCCTTTCCCCTCCATGCTGCGCTCCCCCCACAGTGCCCAGCAAGGAAGCAGGGCACAGAACACGAGGGCTGCACGGCAGGAGGGGCACAAAGCAACCAGCCTCCCCGCGACACACACTCACAAGGGCCAGGCTCATCCTCATTGTGACAGTGTGGCCTGCACTCTTGTGAGAATCAGTTTTCCAGTTTGAAACAACTCAAGGCAAAAATGATGAATTGTACAATACAGAAAGCAAAGCTGAAAAGCCACATTGAAATACTAAAACCGAGTGATACTGTGTCTGGTGCTGAGAAGGCGGCTTCAGGCCCCGGGAAGGGCGCCCGAGCGGCGTGGAGCTCCAAGGCCCTGTGCCGGCCAGCAGGACAGGGGCAGGCGGCCTCAGGGCCGGGGCGCCGGCCGGGCGGTGAGCTGCTTCTCCCTCTCGATCTCCCGTTCCCGCTGCTGCTCCCGCTCCAGCTCTTCTTTCTGTCGCTTCTGCTGCAGTTTGAGTGCTCTCTTCTGTGTCAAAAAAAAAATTAAAAACCAAGAAAAACCAAAGGTTATGGCCTCATTCAAAAGTAAAACTGCTTAGGGTCGTTAACACATATCCCCAATTTCTTCTTCTTTTTTTTGGAGACAGGGTCTCAGTACACAGTTCATGCTCACCCTGACTCACTGTGTACCCAGGCTGGTCTCGAACTCACAGCAAGCCTCCTGTCTCAGCCTCCCAAGTGCTGGGATTACAGGCATGTGTCACCACACCTGGCCCCCAATTTCATATTTAGGTTTCTAAATTCATTCTGGGTAATTTAAGGTCTCCTAGATTTAAAAAAAAAAAAAAAAATTGCTACTCCACCTCCCCCTCCCACCCACTGCCACCGCCACCTTCCTTTCCTGCCTCAGCCTCCCCAGTAGCTGGGGACAGCATGGCCACAGGGCCAGGAGGACCCCAAGCTCTTGCTAATGAGAGCTCAGCTGCACATCTAGGGAACACAAGCCCATAAGCCAAGGTACTGGAAAAGATGAACGGCAGGGTTAGAGAAATGACTTGGGGTGGGGCTGCAGCTCTGTTGTGGAGCCTGGCACTCGGGAGGCCCTGGGTCGGTGCCCAACGTGCGCAAGCACACACGCACGCGCGCACACACAGAGACAATTCTTCAAAGAAAACAATTTGACTTAAGTATGCTCCCATTCTTGCACAGGGAGGTATAAAAGGTCAGAAGGGAACACTGGAGAAACATCTCTCCGCCCGGAAGCAGTGCGAAGCCCGAGACTCACCTTCAGCTTGGACGTCTTCTCGTGCAGCAGCAGCATGTCTTTCCTTATATTCACCAGCTTGGAGTGGTAGTGCTTCGCTTCCGTGAACTTCCCAGGGAAAGGAAAGGGTAAGTCAAGTGACAAGAGACTGAGTGTCAGGGAGTGGATAAATATGTCAAAGCCCACACTGAAGTTTAGCCCCCTACAATGATCATTTATTTAGAGTCTAAATTACACCCACAGTTTAAATTACAAATTACAAATTTCAGGGTCCACCAAATAGCTCAGCTGATTAAAGTGCCTGCAAGCAGGAGTAGGGGCCAGGGGTTCGATCCCCCGGCCTGCCGTGCCAGCCCCACCCCCGGGGCGCACACAGATAGCAACTGAGACTGGGCGTGGTGGCGCGCCTGTAATCCCAACTCTTGGGAGGCTGTAAATAGGAAGATCACTACGTGTCAGATCTAGTAGTAAGACCTGAACACCCTGCAGACCCTTCCCTAAAAAACACAAAAAAACCCAAGATTTTACTAAGATGATCAGCAGGATCTTAAAAACACTTGACGTGGTTCAGGCTGAGAGAAAAGTTGCTAAACATAAAGTAGGCAGGACTGTGAAGCTGGGTGCAGGTAGCCCTTTGCTGTAAAGACATGGCATAACCTACAACCTAAGTAAGCCTGCCCGCTGCTATCGGTTTCATTTAACAAACTACGCCTCTGTAGCCTTCCTAGGGGAGGCGGCACCAGGGCACACAGGCCAGTCGGGTTGACGTGTGCTCGCCAGGACAGCCATGCCAAGCCCAGAGACCCTGTGAGGACAGCGGACATGTTCCCGCACGTCCTCTGGGGAGACCCGCCCACCCCAGCAGGAGACACAAGGACGCATCGGCCGGGCAGCGGGAGAAGGCAGAAACCCCAGATCCTAGAAGCAGAGTGTCGCACAGAGAGCTCTGGACCCTAGCAGTGCACAAGTGAGGTCTGACCACGCAGCTCCAGAGCAGCCCCCTCAAAACCACGCTCGTGCTAAGGAAGAAGGGAGACTAAGACTGTTTCTAACCCTTTGGAACAAAGCAGCAGGACTGCATCTGCCCGGTTTATTCGCTGAACACTCATTTCCACAAAGACCCGGGGCCTGCAGGAAGAACTCGGAGGGCATGCAGGCTGGTCAGGTCAAGGCACGCCCACGCGGCCCCCGGGAGCTGGCAACCCCGAGCAGGAGACTGTGTCCACTGCCACAGCTCTGCCAGCTCTGCACAATGTGGACTTGGCTTTTTCTCTTACGTGAGGAAACACCCCACAGCACATTTGGCCAGCGAAAGCCCATCTTCTGAGGCATGTACACAAGCCAAGCCATTTCCAAGGTAAAGATCAAAGACAGGTGGCAACAAGTTCCTTGTTTCTGGTAATTCTTTTCTTAAATAAAAGGGAGTCAGTTCCTCTCATCAAAAAGCTGTACCATTTCTGATGAAATGCAACAACTCAGCTTTTGTGTTGAAAGATATAATCAATCACTCTACAAGTATCCAATGGAACCTGCGCCACTAACTTACTATGGCATTATAAATATGTCACACAATGAAACAATGTTAATTTATAAAGCCATGAATTGACAGCTAATGAGAGACGGCACTCTGCTTACGGGTAAGAGCTCCCTAAAGCTCCTTCCTTCCTGTTCCCTGTCCTGGGTCTCCATCAAGAGTGTATCTAATCTGGACTCACTCATAAGTTCCACTTCCTTTCACAAGTTCAACATCTGAAAGATAACAATATGCAAGTTCTAGTAAAGAAAATGAAGGTTTCTTATTTAAAAGACACATTCTTAATTTTAAGTATTAGAGGATTAGATCTAAAATATACAAAGTTGGGGCCGGGGAGACGGCTAAGCACTTGCCTGGCAAGCACAAGGGCTAGAGTTCAATCCCTGGTTCCACCAAAAAAATAAATAAAATATACAAAGTTGCGATATACATATTCTTAAAATATCAATTTGCATCAATAAAATCTTACTTACCAAAGCATTAATATCCAACATTGAATGACATTCTTTAAATTTTGAAATCTCCTGTTCCAGTGTATCTAATAACACAACCTGGTTCTGTCTGAAACAAAAGCACACAGCCAAAGTAAAACTTCCAGTGCAAGGGCCTGTTTATTAAAATAAGCCTCACTGACCTTGGCTAGAGCTAAAAGTCAGAAATTGGGTTGGAAATGCATTGCCCTTCCAAGGCTTATTTGGCTTAGTAAAATCTTTTACAAAATAATATTCCAAAGCCACATTCTGACAATTAAATGTATTTTTCATTCTTGCCTAAATTTTAGGCTCCAATACCTAAAAAAAGTCACTTTTAAAAAAAGTGCTGAAGCTTTTCATACAGTATAGAAGAAGGAAGCAGGGAGACTTACACTCCCCAATCTCAAGACTGACAAAGGCCCCACGAATGCAGACAGCACGGCGCTGGCCGGAACAGCAGCACAGCGACCCGCCAAGCAGCTTGCGCAGGGCCAGGGCTCTGCCCACGGCGTCCAGGCAACGAGAAGCGCCTTCCCCACAGGTGGGGCTGGGGGACCTGGTGCCCTCGAGACCTACCCGCCCCTCTCACATGGTCATGAAAGTTAACTCAAACTGGATCTTAGAGCTGAGGGCAAAAAGCAGAACTAAACCTTCCAGGAGAATATCCAGGTGATCTTGGCTGGGTGACGGTTTTAGCTATCAAAAACATAATCCATGAAAGAAAAATCTGATCACTCAGATAGTATTGAAATTAAAAACTGTTCTGCAAGACAATGTTAAAAGCACGAAAAGCCAAGCTGCAGATAAATTCACAAAGCACTCTTGGAAATGACCCGAGTAGACACCTGTCTTTTAATAGCGAATCTGTCCCGCCTCTGTCCCAGGATGCTGGCCCTGAGCTAAAATGCCCAGAATTTCCTGAGGGACAGGATGGCGATGTGGTTGTTGCTCTAGAGCACTGTGGGTCAGACTTATGTTTATGCTCAGGAGGCAAATGGGGTGGAGGTTCTTTAGGATGGGGACTGCATAGCCTGAAAGGCCACCCACGTGATCAGAAGGTTGGGGCATTAATCTCTGTGATAACAGCCCAGAAAAAGGAAGCTGGGCCTGAGTTCAATTATTCACTCAATATCCTGCCCACATACTGAAACCACAATAAACACTGGGGACAGCAGGGTGCTACCGTAGAGAGAGATTCCTGATTAGTGCAGCTGGGTCGCGTCCCACACCTCACGCGCCGCGCCTTGCTTGGGAGGGCCTGAAGCTCTGGCTGGGATCCTCTCGCATCATCTCATGCGGCTGAGTCTACTTTAACCTTTATAATAAAACCATAACTGGAAGTACAGCACTTCCTGGAGCCACGCATCTAGGCCAATGTCATCAATTAAACTCTGCAGCAAAACTTCAGCTCCCAGCTTCCTCCAAGCAGAACGGTGGCCAGAGGTTCTGCAGCCAGCTGCTCACCTCTCTTCAGTCAACCCCAACCCCCAGAAAGCCTTTGCAGCTTTTCTGCCTCCAGGACTGACTGGTACCAAATACAGAGCACACTCTGCTCCGAGAATGGGCATCTCCCTGGGACTGGCAGAAAATCAAGAGTGCCACCAGGTCCCCAGCTACGACGGCACCACACGGTACCACTTCCACCCGCCCTGAGCACCTTGGAGCCAGGAGTCACAGCACTACCTACTACCAGCTGTAAGTTAGCTACAGTTGCTGATCAGTCCTCTTCCTTTGCCCGACAAAGGCTTCTGAAGTAAGTTTTCAAAGGGTAAGTCTCATGGCACAAGTCTGGGTAAGAGTGACAGCTATTTCTGGGAAGAAATGGCTCCAGGGGTATCATCTCACTTGGTACAGCTAGATTTTTATGCACACCTCTGTTCCCAGAAATACCCAATTATGATTAAATGTTATGCAGTGTTATGTTTCAATCCTGTACATAACTGTGAGGACAAGGACGGCATGAGAGAGGAAATGAGCCGCTTACGTGAGCTCCTGAAGGGCTTGCTTGGATCTCTGCAGGTCCGGCAAGTAGTGCGAAAGCAGACCCTCCGCCAGCTGCTCCACGGCTCTGTCCTCCACCATCCGGTCCTCTACTAAGCCTTCATCTGGAGAAGCGGCCCGCGGCCCTGTTCCAAGGGAAAGTCAAACACAGGAAGCATCTTCAATTGACAACAACGCTAAGGGAGGTTGGGGACTCGAAGCAGGAAGGGGGAAGCGGGTAACAGTCACTAAATTAAAGCATTCGTGCTTTCAAATGTGCACGAAATTGTATAAACAAAAACTGAAATACCAAAAAACTGCTTTGAACCCATAAAAATATGGGTCAACATATATTTCCTCTATAACAATACAGTATTTACATAAAGAGAAATATCCTTTTGTCATTTGTTAGGTAGCAGAAGCAAGATTTTTAAACAATTTCCCTGTAAAATTCAGAATTTTAGCTAGGAATGGCAGTGCACACCTATAAACCCAGCACTTGGGAAGCTGAGGCAGGAGGACCGCCAGAAGTTCCAGGCCAACCTGGGCTACACAGTGGGTTCGAGACCAGCCTGAACTACATAATGAACCTCTATCTCAAAAACATACATATAGATACACAAACATCCCAGCTAACTCACTGTGGGAGTTTAGAGTAGAAACTGTCCTTTCCTTAGTCAGACAAAAACATTTCCTGAATAGCTATACCACGCCTAGTTTCTGAAGTTTCCACAAGTAACAAATCCCTTTCCTAGAGGGGATGATACCGGAAAATCATAGAGCAAGACGAAGGCCTCGACTGAAACAGAAACTGTTACGTAAGTAGACCGAAACGTGAGCATCTGAGGGGAGGCTTAAGCAATGAATGGATTTTCTCCCGTCCTTCCTTTAAGTGTTACTCATTGCTTTGTTTTGTTTGGTGGAACCGGGGGTTGAACTCTGGCCTTCGTGCTTGCCAGGGAAGCGCTTATTCTACTGAGCCATCTCCCCGGCCCTAGAGTTACTCACTGTTACAGCACTGAAGTGCCCAAGCTGAAACGAAAAATCTCCCTCTTATCCCCCACCTCCAAGGGGAGTCGCAGGGGAGATCCTTGCGCGGCCTTCACGACCTGTCTCTGCATTCCACACGGGCAGTGTTTAGAACACCTCATGCTCCTCTGCATCCCAGCTAGCTTTGTACAGCAACACATATGGATCTGCCTCATTCTTTTTAACAGGACTCTACCAGAGTTTTTTAAACCAGTCTCCTATAGATGAGTCACTTGCACCTTTTGCTATTTCAGCCAACGCTGCAGTGTGCTTCTGGGCTAATCTCTGCACATCTGTCTCAGTGTGGGACAACTTCTGTGGGACCGACTCTTACAAGTAGACAGCTGGGACCAACGCGTGTGCATTCTTTAACAGACACTGCAAAACCGCGCCCAACACGGCACCATTTACACTCCCACCAACAACCTCTGGGTGATCTATTTCCAAATAGGCAAGAATTCCCATGCACGCAAAGAGCAGCGGGAACCAACATGGGCAAAGGAAGCAAGGTGGGCACAGGTAGCGACGCAGGCTCGCCCTGCAAGTGGAGGCAGGGCGCGCTGGCTTGGGGCGCAAGTGTCACAGCAATCGCTGCGTAGAGAACCAAGCAGCCAGCCTAGGAGGGCCACTGGGTCCCCTGCTAATGGGAGTGGTTTCCTGGAAGCAAGCGGCCCCCCTCAAGGGTTCTGAACGCGAGGAGCCACATGACGACAGCTTTACCTTGAAGTAGTGCTGAAACAACAGCGGGGCAGACGCTGGGACAGTGCACGCCTGCAGGTGGCGTACTCGGCCTTAGTACTGCCGAGCAGGGGCGATATATGCGCAGTAAAATCTGCACATTCACAGAGGATCGAGGCCAGGGAGAGAGCCCAGCCTAAGTTCAGAGACTGGAGCGAGAAGGGCTCGGCCCCTTTACGGGGATCTGTCGTCCGCTCCGGCTTACGGCCTCCCCGTAAAGTACGCCTCAGGGAGCAGCGACCAGGAAGAGCGCCCGCGCTCGCGGCCAGGAGCGCTGGGAGAAACCGCGCGGAGGGAGACATCGCCGGGGCAGCACGGCCGAGGACGCGCCCTGACCCGCCGCGGGGCACCTCGTGCGGGGTCCGCTAGCCTTCCCCATCGGGGGTCCCTCCCGGAACACGGAGAACCCCGCGGACGCGGGTTCCGGGGAGCGCCGCCCCGGGCGGCAGGGGAGCGGGTGGTCCCCAGCAGGCCGGCGGCGGGCAGCACACTCCTCGACCAGGCCGCTCCTTGCACACTCACCCCCAGCTCGCCACCGCGCAGGACCAGCGGCCGGGCCCACCCCGCGCCGCTTCGGCCACGCTCCCTCCCGGCTTCCGTCCCGCCCGTCCCGCCTCGCGCGCTGACAAGCGCGGACGCCATGCCGCGAGCGCCCTCGGGGGCCCGGGGGCCCGGGCCTGGCCCGTCTGCAGCACGTACCCAGTGTCGGCTCGCCAGGAAACCCCGTCGGGACCCCGTCTGGGGGCGGTGACCCAGGAGCACTCATGTCCCTCCCGCTGGGCCCACGGAAGGGGCAGCCCGGAGCAGTCTGCACCCGGAAGGAGGAACCCTCTGCCGCCAGCGCCCGGCCGGACCCAAGTGCGGGTTGCACCCGGAAGTGACGAAGCGGAAGTCGGCGGACTCGGCGGCGCCGTGAGGTCCTGGGAGCTGGGTCCGCAAGATTGGAGGTGCTGGCAGCGTCCCGGTGCCCGTGCTGGAGAAGTGGAGTGCCCCGAGAGGTGGCGGAGACCCAGAGCGGGGCGCGAGCGGCCCACCTTGATTCCCTGCGACTGCGGAGAAGACGGATTTTTCAGTGTCGTGACCTTGTTAAAAACACCTGCGAGGAGGCGGGGGAGATGGCTCAGTGGAATAAGCGCTGCCTTGGCAAGCTACCTGGCCTGAGTTCAATCCCCGGTTCCGCCAAAAAACAAAAACAAAACACCTACGAGTGAGGGCGTATTGGCGCGAGCTTGTAACCCGGCGGCTGAGGCCGGAAGATCTCTGAGTTCGAGGACAGCCTGAGACCTTGTCTCCAAAAGGAAAAAAACTTGAAAACAAAGACTGCTTGTTCTTCTTGCCATTTGGACTATTTAAAATATTCTCGTTTCCAGCTCTGTGTGACTTTCAACCTTGCTAATGGGGGGTGGGCTCCACGATTCAGTCGCCCCTTGATTGCAAGTGATTTGTCCTCCTCAGCGGTACGTACTGAACAAATTCAGCGTAATTACTGCAACCACCTCCTGAGATCCTGTGGGATGACGTCATGAACGTGACAGAAAACGCTCAGGAATGGTCAGAACCCCAGACCAGAAAAAAGATTCTCTTCCCTACCGGAGACCCACTCATCTAGACTTTCGTGGCCTTCTAAGCGTTGCTCCCCAATGTTGCTTATTTGACGTTCTTTATCGCAGCCAAAGCAGTTTTCAAAAAATAATTATAGGAAGCCTCAGAAACACGTTGGAGGGCCAGGGAGATGGCTCAGTGGAATAAGCGCTTCCCTGGCAAGTGCAAGGACCTGAGTTCAATCCCCGGTTCCGGGGGAAAAAAAAAAAAAAAAGGAAACACGTTGGTTCCCCATTTCCTTTGTCAGTACATTAGCACCTTTGGTCCTCTACCACTTTCCACTCCACGTAAGTCTCCTGGGTCCTCCTCGCCCTGGTATGACGCCAGCACCCCATATGGGAGGACCTCCCATGATGCCCGTGATGGGCCCCCCTTCTCCCGGGATGACGCCGATGGGACCAGCCCCTGGGATGAGGCCACCCATGGGAGGCCACATGCCCATGATGCCTGGGCCTCCGATGATGCGACCGCCAGCTCTGCCCTGATGGTGTCCATTCGGCCAGGAATGACTTGGCTAGACAGATAAAGTGGAGAGGCAGCCTCTCTGTGTCAGTTTCATATTATTCTGCTTCACCAGGGATCATAGTACTGTGACTCTGTGTGTTTTCTAACAGCATGAATGACAAGGAAGACTTGCTCCCTCTTCCAATCAATAGTTTTGAAGGGAGAAGTACGATAAGCAAAAGTGCAGAAAGTAGTTTCATTTGTATTGTGAAATGTGAAAGTAAACTTGTCAGCTCTTAAAAAAAAAAAAAAAAAAAAACTGATAGACAAGTGGTACAGAGAAGAGGCACAGATGGGAGCCATAAGTACAATAATGGCCACAAGGGACTAAAAATACGTGTCAGATTCTGACTTAAACTCTGCCATCACCAGATGCAGCTTAATTGTCACTTGCCACTCACTGATAGGACTTGATCTGAGTCTGCAAGCAGCTGATTCGGCACGGTCTCAGAGTAGTCAGACCTCTCTGCTAGTAGTGATCCGTCTGTGCAGCTGCTGCCCGGAGCTAGTATCGCTGCCTCAGGTCCCCCTCAGAGCGCCAGGCACTAGAGGCCTGCAGGGAGCCTGGTGCAACCTGGAACCCTCACAGGTGCAGTTCACAGTAGGGTTCTAGGTCTTGTGAGAATCTAACATCCCTACTGATCTGACTGGAGGGGGACTCAGGCTGTGACACGGGCAGTGGGGAACAGCTGCAAATACAGGTAAAGTTTCATTCAGTTCCCTGCCACTCATCTGGGTCCTAACAGGCCATGGAGAGGTACTGGTCCTTGATACAAGTGGTGGGGACCCCCACCACAGAGGGGCAAAAATGAATAGGGGGAGGGAAGGAGAGAGAACTACTCCTAGTTCCTATCTGCCAAGAATTATTCATACCAAAACTAGTAAGCGTGATATTAAAGCATCCAATTATGCTGGGTGTGGTGGTGCACACCTGTGGTCCCAGTGCTCAGGAGACTGAGGCAGGAGGATCACCTCGAGTTTGAGGCAAGCCTGGGTTTCATAGTGAGCTCAAGGCCAGCCTGAACTATATAGTGAGACCGTGTCTCAAAAAAAAACTAAGGGCTGATGAGATAGCTCAGCATACTAAACACCTCCATAGACAAGTGCAGGGACCGGGGTTTGATTTCCGGGACTGCATCCTGTGCCAGCCCTGGCCCTGGGCACACTGCGCTGGCCTTAGAGACTGGGTGTGGTGACACATGCCTATAATCCCAGCACTGGGGAGGCCACAAACAGGAGGATCACTTAGCAGTCCAAGCTGTGTAGTGAGACCCTGTACCAAATACATTTTTTAAAAAAAACTATATGGAGCCAATCAGGAGCATTATAAAAGCCTTAATGACATGTTAATTTCCTGTGACTGTTGTACTGAATTACTACAAATTTGGTAGATTAAAACAACATACATTTAGCATTTACTAATTTACTGCTCAGGAAAAACACGGCCAGTGTATGAGAACAGGTGTCAAGGTGTCATGACACCCACCGGCCGCCTTTAAAGGTCCCACTGCTCCCCAGTAGGCCCCAGCTGGAGACAAAACCTGCAAGGGACAGAGGCGGACATCTGAGGGGAGTGCGTGATTCAGCCCCCAGAGATGAGGCACAGACGGGAAGCATCTGTGTGGGAGGTGTGTGACTGCATGGTGCACAGCTGGAGCCCAACCAGAGAAAGCTTAAAGACCTCATAGAAAAATCAGACACTGGAGAACAGGTAAAAAGTAGTCTGTACAGAAAATCCAGTGAAGGCTTACAGGCAGGAACAAGCACCAGGTGCAGCAAAAGTGTACCTCAGATGGGAAAGGTGTCAGGTACTGTCTTGGGGAAGATGAGAGGTGGTTATGAGCAGAAACTCATAAAGAAAGGTGGCACATAGTCTGTTAGAATAAAAGAATTTGAAAAGACCAAGCCAGGTGTAGTGGTGCACACTTGTCATCCCAGCACCTGGGAGGCTGAGCCAGGAGGATCACTGGGAGTTTAAGACTAGCCTGGGCTAGAAGGTGAGCCCAAGGCCAGCCTGAACTGCATAGCGAGACCCTGTCTCAAAAAGACAAAAGATGACTCTGTCATACGTAATGAATAAGTTCAAACATTTTGTACTGAGTTCAACATAGTACAAAAATGCATAGCAGAAATATGGATGTTGGATTTCAAGGACTTTGTAGCTCAAGGAGGAGCAAAGTAACATAAAAAATGCATCATAACTGTTTATCCTCCTCTAGTTCTGTTTTCTTTTATGTTTTTCTAGTCTTTATTTTTGCTAATCTAAAGGGAGAAGGCAGGCAGGAAGTTCATGGAAAGAAAGCACCATTACTATTTTCTGTTCCTTTTTATGGATCAGATACCCTGCATTTAGAAGGCTAGCATTTCGTAAAATGTACTCCCACTTTGACCTACTTCTGTCACAGGCGTCCCCATCTCCCCTTGTTCCTCCTCCTTTCCCATAAGCAGAAGGAAAAACTGGAGCAGGTGGGGGTGTGCAAAAGGTTTGAATGAGAACAATATAAGGACCGGGCTGCAGAGAAAAGAGACGGGAACACGAAGGAGAAAACAGGAAAGATGTTACAGCATGTGCCCCATGCGTCTAGGGGTGAGGTGGCAGACGCAAGCTCAGTGTGATGCCCTTGCAGAATAATCAAAAGAAAAACAGTGACAGGGAGAGGTTCAGGGAACTTGTGTGCTAAAGATAGATGGTTTACCTATGTACCTATGATTGACGGATTTGAAGAGAGATTTTCTCAAAAAACTTTGGCTACTTTTATATTTACATGAGAAATATTTGTTCATTGTATAGTGCTAAAATACTTCCACCCACCGCAGCTCTGCGACACCTCCCGGTATTCATTTTCCTTATGTAACAGGCATATTTTTGCATGGATTGTTAAGCCAACACCTTCCAACTCTGCCATCAAGAAAAGTTTTGTAAAATATATACAAAATCAAAAGCGACGGCTTTTGAAGATTTTAGAGGTATGAGAAACATTTTATCTGTAAGCCAAATTTTGTTCAAACTTCTCAAATGAATAATGCCATTCACTAAAATGAGAGGTTGAAGTTCAGTTTCCCTTATCTCTCATTTATTATTTCGGGGTCACTAGAGGTTCCACATAGGTGCTGTATCAGAGCAGGACAGCACATATACCAAGAAGAAAAACAGAGTGACCATCTCGGCCGTAACATAGCCATTTGGAAAGGCTGCCCACTCTCCGCCCAGAGGCCCTCCTAGACCTGCCCTGTAAGGCAGCGCGCCGTCGTTGCTGTGGGAAGCAGAAGCCTGGTGGATTCCGCTCCGGTCCTCACCGGCTTGTAGCAGAGGTGACCTGAGTCCTGTCCCAGGCAGATGGCCACAGCCAGCACCAAAGGGCTTGGGGACTGCACCCCAGCAAATGGTCAGAGAGGAGACCCAGACTTGGTAGCACCGGTCATTCTCACAGGCCAGAAATGAGAGCCTGCTTTCTTGAATCAACCTGAGAAAATGCAGATGACACAACTTTTGGTAGAATTTTTAAGAGCAATTTTAGATTCACAGTAAACTGGAGAGAAAGCACGAGGTTCCCGTGTGCCCGCCCCCACCCCACACGCATGCGTATCTCCCTTGCCATCCGCATCACTTACTGGGCCATTATGTTGGTCTCACACAGTGCACCTATGTTATCGTTGTCAACCAAGGTCGGTAGTTTACGTTAGGCTCCTCCTTGGCATCTTATGTTCTCCGGGCTTTGACAGGTGTATACATGCGTGTATCCATTGCTGTACCATCATACAGGGGAGTTTCACTGCCCTAAAAGTCTTGTCCTGTTCATCCCACTCTTACCCTAATCCCTGGCAACTACTGGTCTTTTCACTGTCTCCGTAGTTAGCCTTTTCCAGAATATCGTCTAGATAGAGTTATATAATGCATCCCCTTTTAGCTTTCTTCCACATGATACATGCATTTAGATTTTCCTTATGTTTTTTTCATGATGTGATAACATATCTTTTTAGTGCTGATTAATATTCCATTATATAAATGTACCACATTTTATAGATTTACCTGCTTGAAGGATATCCCAATTGCTTCCAGATTTTTGCACTGGGACATCTGGCAACTATATTTCATTGTCATTCTAATTTATAATTCTTTAATCTATGTCATATGCTCATTCACTGCCCACTTTGGTGACATGTTAGTTTGGATATCAGTCTTTTTTTTTTTTTTTTTTTTCCAGACAGGGTCTCCCTCTAGGGTAGCCTTGAACTCACTATGTAGCCTAGGCTGGCCTCAAACTTGGGATTCTCCTGCCTCTGCCACCTGAGTTCTGGGATGACAGGCATGTACCACCATGCCAACTATTTTTTTTTTTTTTTTGGCAGAACTGGGGATTGAACTTAGACCCTTGCTCTTGCCAGGCAAGTGCTTATTCTCCTAAACCATCTCCCTGGCCCCTAATTAAAGTTTTTTACTGTTGAATTTGAACAGTCCTTTGCACATATTGGGGAGCAATCCTTTATCAGATGTGTCTTTTGTAAATATCTTAAGTCTGTTGCCCTATCTTCCCATTCTTTTTTCTCTTTTTATTAATTAAGTTTATTGGTACATTTTAGGTACACATAATGATCACATGCATTATAGGAAATTTGCACCTGTATATGGTATAACTTGATTCTTCTCATTCTCTGGATAGAAATTTTTTTATGAAAATATGAAGAGGATGTAGGACTATGCCTCTGTAAAAGATTCGCAGCACAAAAGATTCCTCCTACAAAAGCACCTGCTCAATTTTGACACTTGTAGTTAGGGCCCCACTTTGAAGTATGCAACAGTGGAAGGATCAAAGGCTTGCTGTAAAAGATCTGTTTCAAGCCCTGTTTAGGTAATCATTAGTCACATTAAATAGGATTTTTGCTTGTAAGTAGAGAGTCCAAAGCTGCCTAAGAAAAAGAAGGAATTTGTTTTTGCTGAACTAGAAAGTCCAGCATCTGATCTTGCTTTGGAGACTGCTGTGTATTTCCTC